TTCCTGTCAGGGCTGTTTCTCCCCTCTCAACAGATCTTCGAATTTCTCCTTCCCAAACGGGCCTCTGACAGGGAAGCTTGGTGTCCACATGTTGGTGAGGGGAGGCTCCTCTCATCTGGCCGATGTTCTGTTTCCTTGAGCTTTGCAGACCTCCACCGAGACCCTCTCATTCCCCCTGGACTCCAGCACGGGTGTGTGTTGCATGAAACTGGCAACTGCTGCTAGTGATGTGGGTCTTGCTTTCCCAAGTGTCTCACGTTCTTCCTGTTCAGGAGCCTCCTTATCCCGACCCGAGGTCTCTTCTCAGATTCTCTTAGCACTTCACCTGCTACAGGAGCTTAATGGAATTTCTTTATATTCTAGAAAAAGTTCTAAACCTTATCATACCCACCACACCTCTGTTTTCCCACAACACTGTTTTCTAATGTAGCTATATGGGGTTTTGACAGCCATGAATATCCAGAGGAACATTAGAAATGCATGCAGGAGTCAGAAGTTTTTCATGAACTGTCCTCACACTAGAAAATGCCTAGTGTCTCTGCTTTCTGCCCACTCTGATATATTGTGGCAAGCAAAAATGCTCCTACACATTTCCAACCCCCACCCAGAACCACTTCCCTTACAACACTTGGAGTCTGTGAATAGCCAAGGGCATGAGTCAAGAGCTATCCCTCCAAACTCTGCTCTCAGCTGGTTCTGCACCATTGCTGTACTGCCACTAGGTCAACATGCTGCTTTCATTTAAATCATTTTGTGAGATATTTTAAGTTATGTTATCTCAGGAAACAGACTGAGATTAGTATGCAGACACGCAAAGTGCTCTCGGGAACAATACCTGTGACAGAGTGAAGGAAGCATGAATGGGTGGAAGGAAAGGTTGGACCGCAAGCAGTCACCAAACACACACACACACACACACACACACACACACACACACACACACGAAAACACAGCTAAGAAGCTAAGATGCCCATCTGTTCTAATTGAAGCAGTTTTGCTGCTACAGATGCAAATGCTGGACAGCATTTGTGCAACTGTAGTTGAAGGAAGTTGCTACCTGCATTACTAAATAATCTTTTGTTTTCTCCTGAATTAGACTTTATGAAATAACTAGAGGCCTGTTGCATGAAGAGATTCATGCAATAGGCCTTCCCTTCCCCTGGCTGCTGGCACCGGTTTTCCTCCGGCACCCGGGACCCAGGCCTTCGCTCCAGCGGGAGCCTTCAGTTGTTGCTCTGCCGCTTCAGCCTATGTATGCAATTTAACCATCATCATTGTTGGGTTAATTTGCATACTCTCCTGATTGGCTGGTGAGCATAGCGGAGGGACGGTCATTTTACATGTTTTATTATTAGGTAAGATGGCAGAAGATAGAGTATTTGTCTTAGTCTATTCAGGCTGCAATAACAAAATACCCTGGATTGGGAAGCTTATAAACAACAGACATCTATTTCTCACAGTGCCAGAGGCTGGGAAATCCAAGATTCTGATACCAGCTGATTCATGTCTGAGGAGAACCTGCTTCCTTGGCTGTCTTCTCACTGTAACCTCACATGGCAGAAGGGGCGAGTGAGCTTGCCAGGGCCTCTTGGATAAGGGCACTCACCTCCATAGCAGTCTTATTTCTCCCACATTATTTGGGTAGGGCCGGTGGGATATGGTGAAATAGGAAAGATGTGAGAGTTTTGTAGACAAAGCCCCGTGAAGAGCTTTGCTGGTAACTGACCAATTTTGAACATGTTTATTAATTTTCCTTTTAAAATGGATTTTGCATATTGAAACCTCCACCTTACAGAGGAAATTGAGGACCAGAGAGTAAGTGAATGTCTTTTAAGCTCCCAGTTAGTAGAGGAGCTATTATCCCAATTCTCATCCTTTTGACCAGAACCAGCTACATTTTCATACTAATTAATATTTTAAATTTCAGTAGTGCACTAAAATATTTATTAAATCTTCACTTTCCCCCCTTGTGCTTAAGCTCCATGAGGCAGGATCAACGTGTGCTGGTTCATCATCAATTGAGCACCAATATCAGAAACAGAAGTCTCGCCCTAGCCAGTTTGGCTCAGTGGATAGAGCATCGGCCTGTGAATTGAAAGGTCCCAGGTTCGATTCTGGCCAAGGGCACATTCCCGGGTTGTGGGCTCCATCCCCAGGGTGGGGCGTGCAGGAGGCAGCCAATCAATGATTCTCTCTCATCATTGATGTTACTATCTCTCTCTCCCTCTTCCTTCCTCTCTGAAATCAATAAAATATATTTTTATAAACAAAATTTAGATGTCAGAAGATATGTCCAAATATAAGGAAATTCTTTAAAAAAACTATCTTAAAAGTATAGGTGAAAAATGTTCAGATCCATATTTTTGAAATAGTGTAAGTTCTATAAGAATCAATCTTAAAGGTACCATCAAATTTGAAGGATAATTTAATGATTATATCGCATTTAGATACGTTTGAACTGGTATGGTCAAAACCAATAACCTATTTTTTAGCATCTTGGGTTATGTGGCAGAAGCTCACATTCCAGTATTTTCAGGTCCTTAATTGGCTTAGTTTACCTGTCTGCATGGCGTTAGCAATAACGACTTCATTTTGCTCATTCATTGAGCATTTTCATTTATGCGAAGACCCCCTTACCTGATAGTTCCACATGGTTCTACCTCCAGCCTTTCTACCTAATAATGTTGAGGACAGAGGCCAGGGTACCCTGATGCCTTTTGAACTACCAGGGACTAGGCTGAGGGGAATGAGGCACTTACCTTGGGTAAGATGTATGCTCCAGTTTGAAAACCAGAGTCTTTGGTTAATTTGCAGAATACAGGGCCAACAGTAAAGTTAATATTTACTCTGGATAAAAATACTGCAAAGTATCATTAGAACTAACCAGCTTGTCTTCGTTGCCACATCATTGGGTTCTGCCTAATTCTGAAAATGGCATTCTGAAATGACACAGTTGGCAATCCACTCTGATACCTGCAGAAAACGTATAAAACTTAAGACTTTAAAAAATCATGAGCAAGGGGGAAGTGGAGTCATTCTTGACACTTCGGTCAAGTCTTCATTGACCTCCACTTTTCTTAACTTTAACTGAACTGCTCTTTTAGATTCTTACACATCTGCTGATCAGCTTCAAAAAGGATCTCCTTCGGAAAAGCAAAACCTCACATAACACAAACTTTTGGACTTCTCTCTGCATAGAAATGCTGAACGTGACTATCATTCCTTTGTACTGGTCGGGCTCAAGTTGGTGAAAAGTATTGAATTCCTCAATGATACCTTTGTCTTAAATGATTTGATTTTAATCATAAGGGCTGACTCCAAATATAAACATGGGATTGACAGTGCTGTATTTGTGGGTATTCGGCATATAAATTTTTGAATGGAAGCAGTATTTGCAATCAATCGCACAAGTGATTTCTCATTGTGGTGAAGATTCGATCCTCCAAATCTGCAGTGAGTGGCTAACTTGTATGAAGCCTGACTCTCCTACCTGGAATTCCCAAGTCAATCATTTCAAATTATTCTGAAGGTCTCGCATGTGCATGGATGTGGAGTGTGGTTCTCTTGTAGACTGTGCACAACCCCCAGAATTCAGAACCTTTCAGACTGGTTAATTAGAAGCACAGGGGAACATCACAACATATAGACTTCACAAGGGTAGGACAGTGGTTCTTAATCAGGAGTGCGCATCACAACCAGAGTCACTGGCATGAGATTTCAGTTTTAAGATTCAGATTGAGGCTCAGCGTTTATTAACTTAAACCGAGAAAGGCCTAAAACACTTCAGTAACTCCACAGATGGTTCTGATTCAAATAGGACTAAAGTCCATTTTATTCCTGACTATAATATGTGCTTCTGGTTTTGTTAAGACTTAAATTTATCATACCCAAAGGCTAGAATTCAGAAAGTTTAATACTCTATTCACCTCAGTCTTCTAGTAATGTATGTGTATGAATGACAACACTTAGAATCCAAAAGTCACTGAGTGCTAACATTAGCACTCTTGATGGCCTGGTATATAAAACCACACCTAAGCATAGCAGCAGTCTATATTCTAGCCTGAAGATCTCTTTCCAACACAAAATGATTGAAAATACAGTGGAACCTCAGTTCTCAAACTTGATTCCTTCCAAAGGGCTGTTGGAGAAGTGATTTTTTCGAAAACGGAATCATTTCCCATTAGAAATTATGTAAATTGAGTTAATCCATTCCAAACCCCCAAATGAATCCGTTTTCACCTTTCTTATATACATGTCTAATGTACTGTTTAATCTGTAAATAAACACTTCTTTTCTTAAATTTATCAAAACACCCCCTACTAGCCTTAAATCACTTTTGGCACTTGGTCCAGGGGTGTCTTTCAGAACAGCATGCAATATCTTTGCTTGTTCATATCACTGCCTCCGAAATGCTGTCACTGACTAACTCAGTGATGGTGAACCTATGACACGTGTGTCAGAGGTGACACGCGAACTCATTTTTTTGGTTGATTTTTCTTTGTTAAATGGCATTTAAATATATAAAATAAATATCAAAAATACAAATCTTTGTTTTACTATGGTTGCAAATATCAAAAAATTTCTATATGTGACACAGCACCAGAGTTAAGTTAGGATTTTTCAAAATGCTGACACGCCAAGCTCAAAAGGTTGGCCATCACTGGACTGCTTTTCATTTATCCAAACAAGTTTTTCTACCTCTTCAATTGCCTGTGATCATTGTTTCTTTCACACCTTTAACAACATTAGCACTCTTGATGGCCTTTTTATGTTTTAAAATTGTGCTAATGTTTATTTCTCTCCTTTGTTTGTTGCCTGAGAGACTTTATCATGGTGAGGTATCAACATGAAAAGGTTGCCGAGTGGAAAACCAAGGTATGATTCAACATTAGTTCTGTGAACAATTTAGTTGAGAACCGAATTGTTCAAGATGGCAGACGTTTGAGAAATGAGGTTTGACTGTACGTGAGCTTCTTCTCACTAATAAGAGGAATTGGACATTTTATATTTGAAATTTTAAGGTCAGTTTATTAGTTCATTGATGAAAGCTTTCAGAAGAATATTCTCCTGAAAATTGTTTTTTTCTTAGAAAAAAAGGAAGGAAAATCAACACCCTCTCGGCATAACCACAGATGCTGTGGCAGTCAAGCCTCGGCAGACGGGGATGGCCCATCAATCGGTCAAGTCGCTCTCTGGGTCAGCAGGATTGTAGTCCGGATCATCCTCGTCATCCTCCAGCTCCAAGTCATCCATTTCCTGGAACAAAGACTCATCTACTTCCACATTGTTTCCAGCTGCAAAAAAACAAGATTTCATCTTCAGTCTTATACTTGGGAATGAAAGGTACAAACAGAAACTTCTCCACATGCAAGGGAGGTGATGAAATATTAAATTGCTACTGCAAATCATTACAGGCCAACAATGGTCTGTAATGGTCAGCAGAGACTCACACATTTTAACAACTTTGTGCTTCCAGTTCATAGTCTAAAAAAATCCAGTTATAAAAAAAGCCTTTCTAGAATGAATTCTTTATGATGTGGCATGTGACAAATTGAAGACAATGATATGTCCTGGTCATACAAAGTTGATGATCACTGACCATGGGCCTAGTTTACAAGTTGTTAGAAGCTAATGTGATCTTAATTGTTTATCTATTGCTATATTTGATTTTGCTTAAGTGATCAGAAAACTTTAAAGAATATATTGCTATAGTTTATGTATAAATTTATCAAACATTAGAATTTATTCTTTAAAATGTATTTCTTTATACCCTTGGGAGGAAAGATTTATTGTCATTATTACTCTGATTTTCATGGATTAATATTAAAAACAGTACAATATATACATGTGGAATTCTAATATTATCTTACCATCCTCCAAGAACTGGATATCAGATGTGTCAAGATTATGATCTGTTTCAAATAGCTGTTTCCCTAAAAGAAATAAATATGTTTAATTTGAACAGCATAGTTTTCCTCCATCTTCTACAACTCTCCAGGAAAAAGTCTGAAAATCTGTTTTTCTGAATTTCAATAAATTTACGAACTGAGCTAAGAGGCATATAAAATGTATTTGCATTAAAATGGAACAACTGATAATCTAGTCTGCCTCAAGTCCTAGAAAAACAAATGTGACTCTATCACTTCTAAGGCTTATAATCCTGGAAGTCATGGTAGCTGTATCTCAAGATCTATCATTGTAATAGTTAGATCAAAGATAACCCATAAACATTAATTATAATTAAGTGTGAAAATACATCAACATGTAGAGAGAATGCTTTCTCTTTTTTTCCCCCTGGATGCCTAAGTATATTTTCTTACAGCCCTGGCTGGATGGCTCAGTTGGTTGGAGTATCGTCCTGTGCACCAAAAGGTTTTGGGTTCGATTCCCAGTCAGGACACATACTTAGGTTGTGGATTTGATCCCTGGTTGGGGCAGGTGCAAGAGGCAACCAAGTGATGTTTTTCTCTCACATCAATGTTTCTCTCTCTCACTCTCCCTTCATCTCTAAAATCAGTAAACATATCCTCAGGTGAGGATAAAAAAAATCTCATAGAAATCTGTTCAAATGATCCTCTTGCTATATCAGAACTAATGACAAAATGTTTAGGGGAACAGAAATAGGGGCAAGTCATACCACTTAATTTATTTTTTCCTGCTTGTTCTTCTTCTTTCATTCGTTTCTTTTTAATTTCCAAGAGTTCTGCATCAAACTTGGCTTTCCAACTTAAGAAATTCTCAATTGTAACAGGAGTGCCATGAAATAATTGCTTGGAAAATAAAAAAGACAGGTTACCAGATAAGTGAGGCAACAGTCTAAAACATAAGACTTAATGATCTTCTAGACAAATGAATATAGCCACTTACAGGAAAAACTGTTTTAAGTTTTAAAGTGTTTAATATGATATCTGCCTGCACTGGCTACTCTCATTGGTTTTGGCGATTTATTCTGAAAAAGTTCATTTATAATTTTTATTACAAAAAGCAAAGATAATATTCAACATACAACCATTGCTATTCACTATTTAGAAGAAAGCTGTTGCTGTCAATAGTGATGTTTTGAATACACATCAATTTAGAACACTAGCTTATCTTTCTACTTTATTTCAGAATTTGAGATTTTCTTTTAGTAAATACAGTCATGTGCTGCTTAACATTTTAGTCAATGATGGATACCTATACAACAGTGGTTGTGTAAGATAACGGAGTAGAAAAATCCCTCTAGCCTAGTGACATCATAGCTGTCCAAATGTCATAGGGAAGTGTACTATGTGTTTGTGGTGATGCTGATGTAAACAAACTTACTGTGCTACTAGTTGTATAAAAATATTGCACATACAATTATATACAACTAGAGGCCCAGTACACTAAATTCGTGCACGGGGGATGGGCTCCTCAGCCTGACCTGCACCCTCTCCAATCTGGGAGCCCTGACAGCTTAGGCCCACTCCCCATGGTTCTCTGCTCTCTGTGGGGCCTGGCCACTCCACACCCGCAGCCCTGGGGCCCTCCACAGCCAGGGCAGGACGCTCGGCACCCACTGCCCAGAGGCCGTCCGCGGCCGGGTGGAACACTTGCCTCGTTGCCGTGGCGACGAAGCAAGCATTCTGCCACGCTGCTCATGCTGCCTGCTCTTAGTGGCCGCCCCCACAGGACTGGGGGACTCTGGCAGGGCTGAGGGGACTGGGCGCCACCATCTTTGTGGCAGAGTGACGGCTAATTTGCATATAACTCTTTTATTATATAGGATGCTACTACTTGATAATGATAATAAACAACTATGTTACTGGTTTATGCATTTACTATACTATACTTTTATCGTTATTTTAGAATGTACTCTTTCTATTTATATGAAAAGTTTGCTGTAAAGCAGTATGCCATGTTACACCAGCAGCCTCACACATCTTGTGTTTACCAAGTTTCTTAACTGCATCATTTTCTCTTGTGCTTGATTTAATATAAATTTAGTGTAGCCTAAGTGTGCAGTCTTTATAAAGTCTAATGGTGTACCACTTTTATCTTTTATACCAATTTTTATTGTACTTTTTCTATGTTTAGGTACACAAATACTTACCTAGTGCATACGCAAATCTACACTAATAAAAGAGAAAAAAGGTAATTGGCGTACGACGCTACCCTTTTCATTGGCTAATCAGGGCTATATGCAAATTAACTGCCAACTAAGATTGGCAGTTAACTGCCAACAAGATGGCGATTAATTTGCATATGTAGGCACAATGCAGGGAGGCGAAAGGGAAAGCAGGAAGAAGCCCCCTGCCACTGACAGTGATCGG